ACATGCATTTATTTTTAAACGCTTGTCTTAAATGTAAACTTTCGGCATGAGGACTACATTCTTTGACAAGTGCTCCGACTCCGGACTCCTTTCCGTTCATAAACACGAAATACATTGACGCGAAAATATCCACCGAGTCGAGTGCAAGCCAAGGTATTTGAATCAATAATACCTCTCGCTCGCAGACATTCAACTGTCGGCCAAAAACACAATAGTTCTACAGGAGCGCTGCCAACTCTGCAGAGTTCAAACGCTGCGGAAATATCCCAACTCGTGCCGTGCGCCGCTGTTCGTGGGCCCGGCGTCTGGCGTCAGGAGGAAGGGCCCCGGGCCGCCTCCTCTGTAGCACGTGCAGGCGGGGGGGGGGGGCTCTCTGACATCCACAGAGCGCAGTGACCTGGACCCCCCACCTCCCTCCCCGTCGACACGCACCTGTCACTGAGGGTGACACGTGGGGCTGTCCCCATGTTGGACACAGTGCGAGGTTTTCACATTGATTCTCCTGCCAATGCGTATTACGTTTTAAAGAAATAAATAAGCAAGTAGCTGTACGCTATTCAATCGGTGCTTTGTAAAACTTTAAATGAGTAATTGACATTAACATGGCGAAGACGTCACGCTTATCGGAGTTAATTTGACGGATTCTTCATGTGTTCATTTATTACGTAACTGGCGACATGCGTGTTATAAGTTGTAAAGTTAAAAGGATTATGAGGACTTGTGGCATGCTTACATTAAGTGAACTGTCATTGAAGGACTTTTTGAAAGTGATCTTTATTTGTACTGGAGGTACAGCAACGCGCAAATACGGTAAGATGAACTTGACAAACGTGAATATAGAGTTATGTGAAACTGTTATTGCGATAATCGCCATATCGTGAAAACTAACATCGCATTATATCGTGTTAAATTCGTAACGCGGCAAATAGCACCACTACCACCACCACCCCCACAACCAACTCGCTCTTCCAACAACGCCTGGGGCTCGTTGAGCCAGATGATGGAAGCTTGATTAGAACCACGGCCGGTAATTCATCACACTTAATAAAACACACGGCCGTATCAAGACAAATATACCACGACAAAGGGCGTTTCATATGCACTACACGTAGCACAAATTACTTCTGACATCTGTTTACGTGCCGACAAAAGTGTATTCAAATGACCATAATATACCACTTATAATATAATCCAACATTGAGAAGGTATGTTTATTAAAGAACACACGAGTGGAGCGGTGGCGCAGTCGTCAGCGCACCACCACGTGACGAGTGGTACCTGCACCGGCCTCTGGCACCACAGCACTGCGCCACCCGGCGTGGTGAAGTGTGTCACACAGGAGCCGTGACTGACACGGAATGGTGAAGTATGTCACACAGGAGCCATGGCTGACACGGAATGGTGAAGTGTGTCACACAGGAGCCATGGCTGACACGGAATGGTGAAGTGTGTCAAACAGGAGCCGTGACTGACACGGAATGGTGAAGTGTGTCACACAGGAGACATGGCTGACACGGAATGGTGAAGTATGGTAAAACAGGAGCCATGACTGACACGGAATGGTGAAGTGTGGTCACACAGGAGCCGTGACTGACACGGAATGGTGAAGTATGGTCAATCAGGAGCCATGACTGACACGGAATGGTGAAGTGTGTCACACAGGAGCCATGGCTGACACGGAATGGTGAAGTATGGTGAAACAGGAGCCATGACTGACACGGAATGGTGAAGTGTGTCACACAGGAGCCGTGACTGACACGGAATGGTGAAGTATGTCACACAGGAGCCATGGCTGACACGGAATGGTGAAGTGTGTCACACAGGAGCCATGGCTGACACGGAATGGTGAAGTGTGTCAAACAGGAGCCGTGACTGACACGGAATGGTGAAGTGTGTCACACAGGAGACATGGCTGACACGGAATGGTGAAGTATGGTAAAACAGGAGCCATGACTGACACGGAATGGTGAAGTGTGGTCACACAGGAGCCGTGACTGACACGGAATGGTGAAGTATGGTCAATCAGGAGCCATGACTGACACGGAATGGTGAAGTGTGTCACACAGGAGCCATGGCTGACACGGAATGGTGAAGTATGGTGAAACAGGAGCCATGACTGACACGGAATGGTGAAGTGTGTCACACAGGAGCCGTGACTGACACGGAATGGTGAAGTGTGTCACACAGGAGCCATGGCTGACACGGAATGGTGAAGTATGGTGAAACAGGAGCCATGACTGACACGGAATGGTGAAGTGTGGTCACACAGGAGCCATGGCTGACACGGAATGGTGAAGTGTGTCAAACAGGAGCCGTGACTGACACGGAATGGTGAAGTGTGTCACACAGGAGCCATGGCTGACACGGAATGGTGAAGTGTGTCAAACAGGAGCCGTGACTGACACGGAATGGTGAAGTGTGTCACACAGGAGCCATGGCTGACACGGAATGGTGAAGTATGGTGAAACAGGAGCCATGACTGACACGGAATGGTGAAGTGTGTCACACAGGAGCCATGGCTGACACGGAATGGTGAAGTGTGGTCACACAGGAGCCGTGACTGACACGGAATGGTGAAGTGTGTCAAACAGGAGCCATGACTGACACGGAATGGTGAAGTATGGTGAAACAGGAGCCATGACTGACACGGAATGGTGAAGTGTGGTCACACAGGAGCCGTGACTGACACGGAATGGTGAAGTGTGTCACACAGGAGCCATGGCTGACACGGAATGGTGAAGTATGGTAAAACAGGAGCCATGACTGACACGGAATGGTGAAGTGTGGTCACACAGGAGCCGTGACTGACACGGAATGGTGAAGTGTGGTCACACAGGAGCCATGACTGACACGGAATGGTGAAGTATGGTCACACAGGAGCCGTGACTGACACGGAATGGTGAAGTGTGTCACACAAGAGCAATGACTGACACGGAATGGTGAAGTGTGGTCACACAGGAGCCGTGACTGACACGGAATGGTGAAGTGTGTCACACAGGAGCCGTGACTGACACGGAATGGTGAAGTGTGTCACACAGGAGCCATGGCTGACACGGAATGGTGAAGTATGGTAAAACAGGAGCCATGACTGACACGGAATGGTGAAGTGTGGTCACACAGGAGCCGTGACTGACACGGAATGGTGAAGTGTGGTCACACAGGAGCCATGACTGACACGGAATGGTGAAGTATGGTCACACAGGAGCCGTGACTGACACGGAATGGTGAAGTGTGGTCACACAGGAGCCGTGACTGACACGGAATGGTGAAGTGTGTCAAACAGGAGCCATGACTGACACGGAATGGTGAAGTGTGGTCACACAGGAGCCGTGACTGACACGGAATGGTGAAGTGTGTCACACAGGAGCCATGACTGACACGGAATGGTGAAGTATGGTCAATCAGGAGCTATGACTGACACGGCATGGGGAGGCTTCATCCAGCATCTACGAAGAGTTGTATATGTTTATTAATATTCTATCTTGATTTGAAGCTTTCGCGACGTTTCGGGCGCAACACAAGCGTCCGGACGCTTGTGTTGCGCCCGAAACGTCGTGATTTATTTTATACCGACGTGACTTTACCGAAAGGACCAAAGAGTATGTATTAATATTATTACTCTTGTATTAAAAATAAACAATGACATATTTTACAGTTGTACATATACGTAGGGAAGCCTCATCGAGTATCGAGACTCATTTTCAAGAGGCTCCTGCAAATAAGCCGTTCAGATGTCTCGTGTGTGACGCTCATATTTATTGCCCCAAGTCATGCCAGCAGTGGGAAATCCACGATGACACATGCCGTCCTTAACACAACAAACCACCACTTACCTCCCACCAACCCCCAGGTGTGTGATGGACAGGATGAATTGCCCCCAGATGGGATTTAAACTCGGGCTCTCATGGTCGCGAAGGCAATATTTGACAATGTAAACACACACGTCTGTTGTGTATTATGTATGCAATCATGTTTAGCTACAGAACGAAACTTACAAGTGCGCCAAACTTGACTGATGTCCTGTTCCATATTGCCACCTATTGTCAGTGTTCTGTATCACGCTGAACTGAGTCTGACAGCAGCGCTACCTTCTACAGCTCCTTGGTCGTTACAGCCGTGGGGCACATCTGCTCCTTTCTAGATTCATTCTTTGATGTTGCTTGCTCAGCCGATGTACGCTATCACATGGCCATAGCTGCACGGCTTGGAGGCAGGGTCGGTGGATTGCAGGTGGAACCTGAGAACCCCACCTATAGCCAACGATGCACCATTGAAGCGGATTGTCCTCAACGGCAAGATCCTCCATGGACTTGCCCCTGCATACTTCTCCCCTCTCTTTACTCCAGCAACCAAGGCTCGGTGTCAAAGCCTGCAGTCAATATGCAGTCGGTGAGTGTTCCCACCTCCTGCTGCTGTCCACTCCTCCCCCCTTTCTTTCTAGTCAAGGCTCAAGATGTTCCTCTTTTTATATAAAATTATTAAATTCCGCAGGATGCCCCTATTCCAATATTCCATACGGGGTCTCGATGCGTTTTTGTATGTAAACACTATACACATTGTATTGCAGTAGAAAGCAGGTTACAGAGTTATCATTGAAGCTTGGATTTTCTCCTCCTGAATATCGGGGTTGCAGACTCTGATGCTTGAACTTCTATTCGTATTACTCACTGAAAAATGTTTGGATTGAAAGGGTATTTTAGACCTTGGCCATACTTACGCCGAGAAACATTTTAATGCACTTCCTTTCATACAGCCACTGAAAATAAACATTTATCTGTAACCATCAGTTATCGTCAATGCCACTTGAAAGGCAGTATGAATTATTAAGACGTAGCATGTTAATTGTTGTTGTTATGCAAACATGCGTGTGTTATTATTCCCATAGAAATTATTTCAGGCAGTGACTTATATGTTATGGCTGGCATGCAATGAAAGGGAAGTGGTTTTAATGACCACATTGGGAATATATATTTTAAATTGTGAATGAAAACAGAAATCCGTTTGAAAAAAAACTTTTATTTGGTTGGTATTTAGCAATCACTCACACTGCACAATGAGCACTATTGAGGTGCTTCTCGGGAAATGTACAAATATAAAACATCTGTAGCTCTCTCAAATTTTTATACATACACTGGGGTGAAACTGGGCACAATGTCTGCTCCAAAGAAAACACATGCTCCCCGTTTTATGCACGTTCACATCCGTTACAATTTATACGTTTTGCACTTCCTAACACTCAACCCCTGTGCTGCCTATAAAACTCTTTCGTTGAGAGTTGTCACCGACCATGTCATTTGAGAATATATTTTTTTTTTCAAAGGGCAATTTCAAGCAACACACCAATGTCCTTTCTTACAGTTACGATTCAATTAAAATATTTATACGTTGGGTTTCCCAGTCGTGTGGTTAATCACACGTTTGTACGTTGGGTGCGACGTGCAAATTTTTCATTCACAACGATGATACATTACCAGCTTTATAAATATCACAAACTTATGAATGAAAAACACTCAGCCAGTGAACATTTTAGACAAAGGTTTTTTCTTTAAATCAGATTGTTCAGTAGCAACAGTGCTAATACATATAAAGCATGTGTGCAGTTCCTGATATTTAATCTTAACCAGCAATTCGCATTTAAATAACTATTTTGTGCAAATGGAACCAACGTGACAGAATGAAGCAGTCGATACAAATGGAACAATGATTGATTCTTGAATTATTTAGCAATTGCATTGAAATGGTGCCATCCGTGTGATGTAATTTTAACACCTTTTTATATGTAAGCAATGCATCACCAAGCATTAGAAACCAGCCCCTGGAAGGCGATATCACAGTATTATTTACGAGGTCCTTTGAGCGCCTCTTATCCGCTCAGCCAGTGTTGTTGTACCGTCTCACATACTCTCTGCAGGTTATTTTATCACAGAGCAACCGAGCCAAAAATTCCGTCATTCTCAGAGTATGGCCAAAATTATGTAACACCCAACTGCACGTGGACATAGTTGGCTCGGTTTTCCATTGAATTCCATTCGCTCTCCACCCACGCCTTAGCAGCGGGACCATGATCATACAAAGCGGCTCGCGATGGCCAGCACCTTTGAATACTGCCTCTCGCTGCTTCGCAGCGACGTGGGGATGGGCACGCGGATGCGCGTGCCCGTGGGCGAGCCATTGTCCTCCAGCAGCACCACGTTGTTGGAGTCGAAGCGAGGAGTCATCACCCCCGAGCTCATCTTGTGGCCCACGATGAGGGCCTTCTTCTTTTCACCCCTGTGGCAGCAGCAGCAGAGATCGCAAAGAATCACGAGGTCAGCACACGCTCGCGACTGTGAGCCATCTAACGACTCATCCCTCACCGCCTCCTATGATCTATAAATTGTCGTAATTCCAGGCAACAATTTGATTTTAGAATCGAGTTTTTTTTCCATCTTTGCTGCAGTCTCCACCTGGGTACAGATGGGTCGCATTGTGAGAAGACGCATACCTCTTATGCTGGGTAATGGTGAACCCCTGAATCACGTCGTCACCACTGCGAGCAGAAGCTCCTCCACTAGACGGCGCTCGAGAGCCCTTCAAAGAGAGTATTTGCGCTACTCTCTCCCACACTGGCCAGGCATCTTGAAATATGAGTCCCCAGCCTTGAATCTACCACACGCACGAGACCCGCCGACAGGATGTTCCCCTGAGCTCACCTGATGGCGAGGAGGACCATGTCTCCAACCTTGCCCACACTGTTCTTGGTGTAGACGTGGATGACGCGTGGCGGGCGGTGGTAGGGCTTGGTGGCCATGGGGCTGTTGTCTACGACGCGCACACGAGTCATCTTCTGGATGGCTGCGCTAGCGGGCGACACACTGTGGAGACAGAGTTTCACGCTTGTATCATCTCACGTGCAGCAGTTGGATGGTGCCGTGGACAAAGCTGTGATTAGAGCGTGTATCTCACGAGTGGTAAGCTGCGGGTTTAAAGCACAAAAACAATAGAAAGTTGGAAATCGAATTATAAACTGATATCTCGATGATCAACAAATGAACCTTATGGTGGGACCCCAGGGTCCCGAAATAAACGGAAGTCAAAATAGTAATTAATTCATTTATTTTTGGCGACTCCATCCCACCGCACACATCAACGCCGTGACCCACCTGGCGCGTATCATTCTGTTGTCATGTCGTGCAAGCGCAACGAGGACGAATGCGCAGAAGAAACAAAACTTTGAAACTTTGATTAGCGCATCGTGTAGAGCTCGTCGAGAGGAATAGATTGCCGTATCGTTCGCCTTCACCAGACATAAAATGACGTCGCAACGCAATTTATTCGAGAGCCGGGGGCTTATGGGACCCTGGGGTCCCTCCATAAGGTTCATATGGTGAATATATGGGCCAAGAATGTCTGTGTGTCCCGCACGTGACGTCACTCCACGTCGGCCAGCCATCTCCACATGGACCCCCCCATCATTAATAATCATGAGCGGGTGACGTCACTTCACATCGAACAGCCCCCCACATTAATAATCATGAAGAGGTGACGTCTTTCAAATTAACACCCCCTCTCATTAAATAATTAATTAGCGGGTGACGTCACTTGACATGGGGGGGCGAGGCGCCTCCTGCCCCCTCCTCGGCGTCAACTCACAACCCTCACGTCACGTGATCTCCGTAGCGCTGTTGAGACATCGAAGTAAAAAGGACGTCACGATGAACAAGGGATTATCACCTTTAAATGAAAGAAGTCTGTGTCACCGCGCCCTTACAAATTGCACATGAATGGATGCAATGAATATCACGTCGCGGTCTGCTTTTCTCTTGCAAGTTTCAGATTACCTGCAATACACCCGTCCTTGGACGGGTAAAAGGCTCGTAGTGAATATTGATCTTGAATCACGGCAACCCTCGTGTATGCAGAGCAGTGCTGCACTGACCTGAACCGCCTGCAGAAGACATCGCCGAGAGAGGATAGTGGTGCAACAAGAGTCCGGAGGGACCCTGCACCCACCACACACGCACATGTGTTAACACAAACCCCAAACTCAATAAGGGAACACGCCCAAGAGGACGGAGTGACGAGTTCAGCGCGCGTGCAGCGGGCACGTCATGGATTGGTGCATCGCAGGAGTGTGGCAACAGGCGACAGCTTGGGGAGACCTTTATGGTGGCTAGGAGATGTTAACTACCTCACCTAGTCTACAGGCGGACGTGGGGTCTATCCAGAAACTGACTCCTGTATACTTGGAGTTTGCGCGTCTCTCTCCCTGTGGTCGCGTGGATTTTTCTCCTGGTCCTTTTTCCCTCCATATTTAGAAACCTTCATTTAGAGTATTTGGGTGCTATGAATGTCCACGTGATAAGCCACTTCGTTGAGCTGTCAGTTGTGGCCAGGTCGCTTCTGAAAAATCTATATAGCTCAGTGGGCCTTACCTGGTAAAATAAATAAATAAAAACAGTTTGATAGCTAAATACAGCAATGTGTATACAAATACTGATGTATAACTGAACATTATGAATTTGGGATTTCACGTTACCACATTAGTGGTGCACGATTGTGGATGATGTCTAATGTGTTTTTAAACCGCACTTTACAAGAGACTCATCACCCATCATATGCACAAACTACTCGTGTTATGCATTACTTTTATGAATCATAAAATATATTTTTTTGTTGCCTTGCCAGAATTAAACGCTAAGATTTAACTACTGTATTAAAGAGTATCAAGATATGATAGAACATTGCAGTTTGCCATAACTTGTGATTATAAACCAGAGCTTAATTTCAGCCAGGGTCTGCCCGGGTCGGTGACCCGGACGATATTTGTGCACTCGGCACACCACATCCAGTATACACATCACTGTAGCGACTCGCGACAGTGAGCAACTAAGCCTCAATTAACTCTGCACTTGACTTACTGCGCTATTAACGTGACATTTAATGCGGGTTTCCATGGCAACCCGCGTGTCCTTGACAAGAGGCCTAGGCCTGAAGTAGAAGCCTGTCACTCGCGCACTCTTAACCTCTGTAGCCCGGAGCTCACTGTAACACGCTCAAAACCGGACAATGCTCCCTCGCTTAACGAAATACGCAACACTCCGTCGTAAGCCCTACAACTGGTAATTATTGTAGCTTAATGGCGCAATTAGCGAGCAAAGAACCCGTCACTTACACATGTCTCGCCTAGGCCGCACGCGTGCGCGCGCCTTTGCAATTTGCAGCGCGATTAAGTCGCGGACCCGCCGCGCGATTGGTTGGAGACGGTCAGCGTCACGTGGCGAGCGCACCGACCAATCCGCGTTCAGCGTTTCGCGCTTATCTGCACTACGCTTTACAGAGAGGGTGGGGGTGGCGACGAGATCCCCGACACTCGAGGGCGATGATGTAATGGACAATCGCCTCTAGATTTCGTACAACTGATCGGCGTCCCCGATTCGCCGCTCGGGAGCGATCCGATTGGACGATCGCGCGCCTCGGTGTTTATCGCATGTGGGATATGTAGTGCCCTCTCACACCCATTCAGTGCATGGCAGACGGGAGTGTGACATTCATGGCATTACGGGTGAGTCTTCTACCCCACCGTTATTCGTTATTTATGGCTTATTATTTCGTGGGTATTGATGGCAAAATGTCGAGCGGATCTTATGGAAAATGTGCGGTAATTTTTTGTGTGATATAAAAAAGAGAATAATTTAAACGTGGCCTGCCCTGACGCCCAATGTTGGTTATTTGAAATGGCGTGGTAGATTGCCATGATCCAGCACTGTACGCATTGGGTGTCCCAATTTGTGCGTGTGTCTTTTTAGATCAGTTTATGGTTTAACGTTTCATTACGTTATTAAAATAATACGAATCTCCAGTTTTTTTTCCTCATTTAAGGTGCCGTGTGCGTGTGCTTGAGTGGGGATTCGCTGATATTTTAGTACAGTTGTAGAAATATTGTTTAAGGCGTAACCGTTAATCGCATGAAACATAACGGTAAAAAAAACAGTTTACGGTTTTGTGCACGTAAAACAATATTTAATGAAACGTCACGATTGTCGATCTTTGGCTACGAAACGACAGGAGCGACCACGTTGGCTGTATTAATGGGTTAGCACCCTGGACTTGCAATGCAGAGATCGCCGCTTCGAGTCCATCTCCCGGCACGGCAGCTGCAAGATTGGGGCGAGCTCCCTCAGGATCCCACCGGCTTTGTCCGCCCTGCAGCGCGAATGGGTTCGCCGTAGTGAGCGTTTGTGTGGTGGGGCAAAGTGTGGGTACGCACACCGCTCCCAACACACCAGAGAGCCCTCTCGTGGAGGCCCTTTCTCCAACAGTGGCGTGAGCAGGCGAGAAATTGCTCTTGAACTGAGTAACTTGGGCCAATCTGGCATGCGGTGGCTCAGGCCACCGTGACATTTGTACGTTCGTGCGTGCTCATGGGAACGCGTACCGAGTTCTGCCTTTCAACATCTGCAATCGTATCTGAAAATGATTACCCGATATTCCCATGTGTCGTTTAATAACCCAAATATTTAGCAATTGCCCTTGCTTTTGTATGCCTTGTGCCATTAACAATGACAGTGCAGCAATTTAATTTGCGAAATTACATGGTATTATTTTTAATATATGTAGAAACATAATCATTAATCACTATGTAACACAATTTTTGTTCCTGCCTAAAAAGAATAGAAAATGGCTTTTATTCCCCACAAACTTCGCTTTTGTGACCAGGACAGTGTTATTTTGAAATTAACGTATTTTCAATGAGAAGACTGGCGATTTTTTTTCTTTTCGTTCACATAAAGTAAGAAAAAAAAACATGAATCAAAATTTACATGTATTTATACTAAAGTCATACAAAAATTACTCCAAAAGATTTAGAAGTGAGTAGTTTTTCGACATTTACGATTATACTGTAAATCACTTTCACGAATCAGCCCCCAAATGTAGTCTCCCATCATGTTCTCGTGAGACTGTGCTTGGTAGCAGCGTTCAAAATCCAGTATATCGTGGTGGAAGCGCTCGCCTTACTCCTCCGAGTATGCTCCCATGTTCTCCTTGAATTTATCAAGATGAGCATCAAGGATATGGACTTTGAGAAACATCCTACAGCCCATTGTGCCGTAGTTCTTCACCAGAGTCTAAACTAGCTCCACATCGTTTTAGACCTTGTGATTGCCCAGGAAGCTACGAACCACTGCGACAAAGCTGTTCCAAGCTGCTTTCTCCTGACTAGTGAGCTTCTTGGGGAATTCATTGCACTCCAGGATCTTCTTTATCTGTGGTCCGTCGAAGACACCGACTTTGACCTTTGCCTTAGACAGCTTACGGAATGATATTTGCTGGTTTATCCAGGATGTTTATGTTGCGCGTCGTCGCTTTAAGATGTTCTCTGTTCATATTTTGTTTGTTGCGGTTGCACCCGACTCAAGAGCCGCATGGCTCACAGGGCTATACCTAATCAATGAAACTTGAAACTTGAAAGGAAGAAGTCTTGAAGGTACTTGAAGGCTTCCGACTTCTTATCTACAACTCTGACATATTGTTTAATAAGGCCGAATTTGATGTGCAGTGGTGGCATCAGCACCTTCCGGGGGTCCACCAGTGGCTCCCACTTGACGTTGTTCCTCCCCACAGAGAACTCGTTTCGCTGTGTCCAGTCCTGTCTGTAGTAGTGCACCTTGGTGTCCCTGCTGTCCCAAAGGCAAAGATAGCAGGGAAACTTGGTAAAACCGCCTTGGAGACCCATCAGGAATGCCACCATTTTGAAGTTTCCAATGACCGTCCAGCCGTACTCATCATACTTCAAGGCGTCCAACAGGGTCTTGATGCTGTTGTAATCCTCTTTGAGGTGCACCGAGTGAGCCAGGGGAAGAGACGGGTACTTGTTACCATTATGGAGCAGCACGGCTTTGAGGCTCCTGGATCAGCTGTCAATGAAGAGGCGCCACTCATTCTGGTTACAGGCGATTCCAATTGCCTCGAACAGACTGGTCACATTGTGGCAGCAGCAGAGCCCATCTTGACGGGTGAAGAAGCTTAAAAATGATTGGTGACGCTTCCTCTGATCTGCGACTTGCACACCTTCATCCAACATGTTCCACTGCTTGAGCCTAGACGTCAAAAGCTCGGCATTTGACTTGGTGAGACCAAGATCTCTGATCAAGTCGTTGAGGTCTTTTTGGTTGGGGTAGTATGGGTTTCTCTTCTCAGCTCCACCTCTGAAAATGCCATCTGGATCTACAACATCTTCCTCGCTCTCTGACTTGCTGCTCTCTTCTAAAGACGGCTGCTCTCTCTCCGGGGGAGTGGGTACAGGGAGATCATGGCGGTGTTGCACTGGGGCGATGGATGAAGGAAGGTCCGGATACGTGATAGCAGGTGCATTCTTGCCAGTCCGACGTTTGGAAGGGTCCACTATGCAGAAGTCGCAGTTACTAGAGTGGTCAAAGGGGTTCCCGCCAAATTCTTGGGATAGCGAACTTCATGGCTCTCGTTTCCCCTCTCTTCCATCCTACAAAAATACATTTATTTCACCCATGACTAATGTGTAAGAGAGTCTCGCAACATTTTTTCAAGAACATTGAATATTGTAAACCATTTTTACATTTAAAACTTTAACAATTATAATTTTTTTTACAAATTTTATAACATAAAATTCCAATCAACAATTTTACCTTCCAGAGTTTTTTTTGCATTGCTCGCAGGTGAAATGAGGTGTCCAGGTTTTGTGTTGATCCCCGACAGGCATGTCGAGATATGCCTTGTAGGCCTAACACATCTTAGCAGATGCTTCCACAGAGTACTATTTCGCTCTTGTCTTGATAAATTGGCTGCAGACATAGCAAAATGTGTCTGCCGGATGCTTGCAGCCTCTTGATGCCATCTCAGAAAAATGCAGATATGTATCCACTTAGGCAGCTGGAACTAAACTGAACTGATCGGCTTAAGGCCCCTGTATTTATACTACTATTTATATTACTGGAAAGTTCTAGAATGTTCTAGAAGTCACTCCAAGTTTACTCAGCACTGAATCTATCTGTAATGTTTTGGAAAATAGGTAAATTTCTAAATATCACTGTCCTGGTCACAAAAGCAAAGTTTGTGGGGAATAATAGCGATTTTCTGTACTTTTGAGGCATAAGCAATTAGGAAATAACACTTACTACCCAGGAACAAAAAATAATTGTGTTACACAGTGTTATCTCACAGATCAGATCCATGGCACGAGACTGTATAATCACGCCACCCAGTGCCAAAGAAATATATTTCTCAAGTAAAACATCGAATGCAGTGTTATTTACAGTTGAATATTTTTGTTATCATGAAATAAATAAGTAATTGTGATCTCCTGGTCAAATGAACATTGAGGTGGTGTGTCATCTTGTGTTTAAAGCTCTGAACCAGTGGTGGAAATTCCTCTTTCCCATGACAGGGGCAAGTCTATCCCTAGGACAACCTCAGTTGACTTCCCCACAAAGCGGTATGGATTTAATTGACCCCCGGGGGATGATGGGTTGAGTCAACTCCCTCGCAATATTTTAACTGGAACCTTCCGATTGTGAGCCATACACTTTACTGCTAAGATACGTAATTTCGACAAATGCTCGTTTGTATTTCATTTCTTATGTATTTACCATTTTTTTGGTGAAAAGTATAGAATGCATTAAACAAGCAGTCATTAGGCAATGACAGGTGATATCAACGATGAAATTATATTGCTTTCCATATTTTTTACATTTTAACACTTACCATTTCGTGGCCAATATTATCCATAATAGTATTTTTTTGGGTTAGAAACCTTAAATATAAATGTGTCGTTTAACCCGCCACCACCCGACACAGCCAATTAGCAAGGTGTTGTCACATAAACAAAGCATTCTTTTTCGTTACTAGTACAGCACACTCCAACACACAAGCGGTGTGCTGTACTAGTAACGAATTGGCATGTTTTGTTTAGGTGACAAACCGTACTAATTGGCTGTGTCGGGTGGTGGCAGGTTTCACGACACGTTTATATTAACGCGATCTAACCCAAAAAATACCTCTTATGGATTCCTTACATTGTTCTGGATATGCCACGTGTTTCATCACTTTGTGGTTTAAATCTTTCATGAAAGATTTGGCCAACAAAGGTTAAATTATTCAGCAGGTTTGGACAGACGGATTTGGCAGGCGCTCGTTCGCTTTTTAATGAGCTTATAATGCCTTGGCGAAAAAACCACACAACTGGGCGTTATTGCTGTTTGTACTGTACAGTATGCCGTTTTCTTTGCATATTAACAGGTAGCAGGTAAATGTATGCTCACGTGTTACACGACGCTGTGCCACATCGGCTGTGTTCGTTCTCATCATAGTAGCTCTTCATACATCACATAATATTGACCACATCACTCCGATCCACAGACTCTGCCACTGACTACCTATCAAATTGCACATTGGGCACAAGATAAGTTTCACTCTATTTAAAATCTATCATGGATTCACCCCCGCCCACCTCCCCCCTCTCAATTATCTCTACTCTCCTCCCCATGCATTCGGATCCAATAACAAAAGCCTCCAGCCAACCCAACCTTGGCTCAGTGGGTGGTCGTTTCCTCTCCGTTGCTGCCCCTGCAATTCTGTCCTGTCCACATTACTGACTCCATCCGCTGGTTGCTTTCTAGCTCAAGAGCTTCCTCTGCTGTTGTGATTGTCTCTCCATCGTTTGTCGTTTTAAGGCCTTCTAGCTTAACCGTTTTCTCTTATTGTCTGTCACATATCCGCTTTTTGACTTTTCAATCCTTCCCATTCTCCATATTTCCGCAACATGTATCTCCAAACTCAATTACAGCATTTTCAGATTTTTGTTTCATTTAGACAGTTGCTTTGTAAATAGTTGTTTTTGTTGTGCAACCAGTTAATTGGGGCGTTTTTGACGAAACCATTCCTGATTGAATGTGCAATGAGATGAACACGGAACTGTTGTATGGATTTCTCATGTCAAGTAGATATGTTGTGACACGCAAAATAATAACTTAGTACATTTTGTATTCGTGCCATTCTTATAGCGCAAGACTATCACAGAGGTTCAGTATTCACAGACGGATGGAGGTTGATATTTAATTACCAATTGCTTAATGGTGGCAGGCAATAATCTGACCCATAGGTGGCAGCCATCTCAAGCCAGAGGACGAGAGGACTCTAGCCGCCACGCATATAAAGGATTTATAGTGAAAAACTTTGTTCTTACGGGTTAATTTTTTAATGATTGGCCGTGTCGGGTGGTGG